CAGACTCTCCAGACAGCCTCTTGAGAGTGGTTCAATTTTAATTCAATATGCTGAAAATAAGCTGAAATGAATGCACTTTGAGAATTGACAATTGTTTTCTGGTTTATTTTTTTCCTGGGAGATGCTGTATTTATTCCAGTCATTTTTTTTCTCTTCCTCTTTCTATATCTGTTATGGCTGACTTCCATTTCTTTCCAAGTCTCAGCAGGAAGGACAGCAATTGGTGGCCTGGGAAGTATAAACCCGAATGCCTTTGCGTTAGATTTGCACATCTGGAATTGGGGTCTTATTCTGCACCACTGTGCTGGGTGGGTGGAAGGGACAGGACTGATAGGACGGCAAACGTTTATCCTTTCGTAGTGACTGACCAAGGAGGAGTTAAAATCTCCTGGCAATTTGGAAAGAGTGGAAGGGGAATCACTGTGTTTGGCTACTGATATACCTTTGGTCAGATTTTAGACTAGCAAATGCCATTGTGAATGAGATCTAGACAGTGCCCAGCTCGGGGCCTCAAAGGATGTTGTAAGAACTTGGCAGCAGCTAACCATGGGGAAATCCTCTTCCATATCATGCCTCATCTTGACCTTGAACAGATATCAGTATGATCCTTGTGACCTGACATTTAATAAGTCTTTTGAAGTCTTGTTACCATGAGCTACAGCAGCTCTGGAAAGCCTTGGTATATAATGCTTTGTTGCAGAAATATCAGAAGCATTTTCTAAAATAATTTGCTTAGGGCCAGTAGGGGTTGGATGCTTCAAGAAGCAGAAGCTTCCCAGTTATAAACCAGGGATCTTCAAAGAGATTTTTGACAAAGTTTTTGTCTAGCAGTTGCATTTACTATGCATTGGCTGCACTTCAAAGCTGCATGTGAAAATACATTGAAAAGTATTACTCTTAGTGATAAGAATATTTGCTCCTTTGAATTCTTTGCTAGAAATGAATTTGTGGCGTAAGTGATCTTACGGACCTCCTGAGTCTGTCACGGTGAGGGCGTCATTTGGCCAGGGGAGGGGGGGGGATGTCGTGAGAGAAAATGAGACCGAGTTTGCTAATTCCACCCGGTGGAGGTCTGATCTGGGTGGAAGTGCTCGGGAAATGCAGGAAGGATTCACTTGTGAGGCCTGATCTGTAGGGTCGGGGTTATATGATGAACTCTGAAGAGGAATGTGTGTGCTGTTAGGAAAAGGTTATGCAGAGCCAGTGTCCGATCTTATGGGTCTGCGAAACATCTAGCCAGGTGGGAGTTAACAACTGAGTCCGGACTGCAGGACTGAGTGCCTTCACGATAGACTTGGACCTCATCCCTGATTTCTTCCCCCAAGCTTTAATGAAAATCAAAGTAATATTCTTGTCTGGTGGCCCTTCAGCTGGAAGTCTGGTGGTGCAGAGAGTGTACAGCACCTTGCGCAATGCGGCTCCCCCCTTCCGCCTCGTCCCCCTCTGCTATTGTAATGCACCAACTACAGTAACTGAATATTCATCATTAGCCTCCAACAGACTTTAAATAGACCAGTGACAGCTTCCTTCCTTGTAAATTCTTTCCCCAACCAACTTTTTTTTTTTTTCTTCTAATTTTACAATTTTTAATGCAAAAAAAATGTAGCCCATTAACACCACCACGTAAAACTAACTCACATTCTGGCTCAGGAACAACAGTCTCTTCCTTGCTGTGGGGACAATTTCCTATATTGCCTGTGTAAGTCAAGCTTTAACGTGCTTTTTCCCTTCCTACTTTGCTACAATTTATTTGGACAGCAAAATTTCTGGACACAACAGTCATTTTATGCCAGCGGTGAACAAAACCTTTCATTCCATTAAACTGTGGCCCAGGATTACAACCAGCTATTTCGGGAATAGTGACTTTTAGGCACTGAAAAAAATAGGTTCTGATACATTTTTAAGGACTGAAGGACAAACTAAAATGGTAGCTGTGCACACTGCATATTGAGTGGGCTCAGGAAACAGTATAAATGTTTCAAGATGATTGTTGCTTTACAAGGTACCAAAGGTATCTCTTTATTCAAGCTCAGCTCCTATAAGGAAGAAAAAGGTAGTAATACAGAGATAACTGCCTTTGTGCATAGAAAAATGGCAAAGTAAAAGAAAGAGACTATTTTAGATATTTAGTGAGAAAATACTTTCCTTCCTCTCCCTCCTCAAATAGTTGATTTTTTGGCAAAAATAGCACCCAACATGTTTTGACTGAAATGGAAATATTTCAGTCTGGAGAGAAGTCATTGCAATACCTCCTGGGAACTGCCGTTGGGAAACTTGGTGTCTCCAACCTGTTCCCGGTCCAGTGTGACTCTCTGCTCATGCCATGTCTCCCGCAGAACACCACGGTCCTCTCTTATGGCCACAGAGGCTGCCATGTCCCCTGGGAAATGCATTCTGAGAGGCATTTGTTCCCCAGTGCGCAACAGGAATGTGGGATCCTGACACCACCTATGTTGGCACTCAGGGTAAAAATATTGCTGTTTCAGGCATACAGCTCCATTATGGAAAGAAAATATTTTTTTATCAAGAAAAAACAATCAGTGGTCAAATTTTCCTCCTCTCAGCTCTCCATTGAGAAAGAGAAAGTGTTGACTTAGGTGAGAAGTATCTGCGACAGGGATGGCTTCTTAGTGTTTGTGTGGTGCTTCGCACAGCGAGGGTCTGATGTTGATGGGGTCCCTGTGAGCTACTGTGAGAATTTACTGTGAGAAACCCCCATTCAGATCTAATCCCATGTCTCAGAGACATCCAATTCTTCCCTCGCTGAAGCAGGGAGAAACTGTGAAAGGAGTCATCTCTATATCCTCCAAAAAAGCCACAGAGAACATGATGTGGCATCATGCCGTGGTATGTTCCTTCTTCTCCTCCATCGTAGCTCTCAGGTACCCCACCAAAAAAAAAAAAAGAGGCTCTGTCATTTCTTGGGGAATTGGGCGTTGGTGGTGTTGGAGCTGAAGAAGAAGGAACCAGCCAATCCATGCAGCAGCCTCTAATTAGGGAGGAGAGCAAAGGGCAAGGTCGATGGGTCACCTCCCTGTGGATTGTCTTCTTGGAAGGGAAACATGGTGGGGATGCAGCTTTGAGGTGTCATGCTGGCGCTATCTCCATGAGGATCGCCGTGTGAAAGTGGAGCATGACAGGAGCAGGCAGCTTAAAACCATGACCTGGTAGGTCTGGGAGATCCCCTAGAACCTGGAAGATCTGAAGGACATCCAAAAAGTTTGAAGGCCACCCATGAGGTTTGAAGGCCATAGCTCTTGACCTTCCTGAAAAGCTGCCCTCCAGCAAGAGCTCCTGGGGTGGAAACAGTAGTGCTGGGTATCCACAGGCAAAGAGGTCCTCTGAAGCCCACCACATACCCTGGCATCCACTGCTGTCTTCTGTATCTGAGGGATAAGTCTCTGCTTCCTCCCAGTCCATCTCTCTTTTGTTCCTCGTACGCAGCCTGGACTTCAGTTCTGGGAAAAAGCTGCCTGGTCGGCCAGCCCAAGTGGTTGGAAAGCCGTGCTCCTGCCAGCGCTGCCGGGAGAAGCTGCTGGGCTTCCAGGGGAAGAAACTCCACCTTTGGAATAGGCTCTCCTTGGCAAGCCACCAGTGCCCGGGGTTTGGAAAGCTTTCGTGGCACAATGAGAGACACATTTATTTGGTTTTGAGCTCCTGGGTGAGTTTCCCCTCCATTACAGCTCAGTTGCTGATGTTTCTGGCAGCCACCACAGCAGTGGTTTGGATGAAAGCTCCCTGCTGTGAGTAGGTTTATATAATTGGTATTGTTAAATTTTGTAAATAAGTTGCGAGTTGCTACAGTGATAGGCCTTCTCTAAGGGGCATAATAGGAGATTCAGGGCTCCTCTTCCACGTGTAGGTGGCCAGGTGAGCCGGTTGATGGGATTTAAGGATCTGCCCTTGCTCCAGCATAATGGTTTTGGGCAGGTGAGTAGGGTACCTCAAAGCCAGCTTGGTCCAACTGTTATAGCCTCAAAGAAGAAAGCTTGTGTTGGAATCTGGGCTCTAGTTTGTGACTGCTCTGAGCCTGGTGGCACTTTGCAAGGTGCTGTTGTACTACCTGATCTTTATGCATTTTAGCAAGCCCTTGGGTTCAGGGAGCACCCAGCTGTCTTGGAGACAGCCCAGGAGGCAGCTTGCACATCACCTGAAGTCTCCGAGACCCCCTACGCAGCTTTGGTTCTCCCCCCTGCTGAGCAGGAATAATCTCGTCCAGCCACGTTGCTGATGTGCTTGGAGAAATGTCTCCAAAACACACGCTGTGTGTAGGGTCTTGTAGGAGAGGGGATTTCCAGCCGGTGTTGGCAAAACGTCCCTGCTTCAAACCAGATTTCAGAGCGAGGGAGTAAACCAGACTTTCCATTAGTGCTCACCCTCCTAGCCTGGCTCCACTGAGGTGTGTGGTTCTGGTGTGCATCAGGTCTTGGTGAGTTATTTATTTCTCTTTTCTGAGGGCTCTGGAGTGGAGCTTATTCTCTGGTCCAGGGATCCCCCATCCAGGACAACCAGGCTGGCAGACCCTGCAGAAAAGGAATGAGGACAACTACCATAAGGGGGAAAAGTAGACCTAAATATTTAATCCATTGCTAAGTCAGCTTGGCAGAAATGAGGTTTTTATTTACACACGTGCTCATCCACATATACAATATAAATAGTATATAATTTGTAAAAGCTATCATAATATGTAAATACAAATCTTGCGTATTTCGCTATAACTGTATGTATCTATTTTATGTATGGGTGTAAAATAGCAGTTGTGGTGGAAGAGGCATGAATCTGAGGGAAAGATACTAAAAGGAAAGTGAAATAGAAGAGTGCAGCATGGATAAAGTGTGACGGGGCTGCAGTCTTCTGGGAGGGATGTCTCTCCCTGAAAGTCTAAACAAACACCATTACACTAATGTGCTGTCTTCATTTATTAATCCACCGATCTATTTATTAATTGATTGCTTTTCTGCCTTGTTTCTTTTTTTTTTTTCTTGTTTCTTTGCTTTTAGTAAAGAGTACCCGGTTGTTCCCAGGAGCACAGTGAGACAAAAAGTGTCCTCGAATCACAGCCCCTTCAGTGGTGAGACCAGGGTCCTTTCCGCCTCCTCCAACCTGGGCTCCCAGTACCAGTGCGAGAACGGGGTGTCGAGCACCTCCCAGGACCTGCTACCGCCTGCCAACCCCTACCCGATCTCCCAGGAACACAGCCAGATCTACCACTGCACCAAGAGAAAAGGTCAGACCTTGGCTGCTCCCCAGTCAGTGCTTTCTCCTTCCTACCAGGCTGCCAGTGGGGTTTTCTGACGTTTCCCCCTTGATGAACAGCCCCAGCCTGCTTTATGGTGACACTTGAGGACGAACAAGGGATGCAGGTTGTGTGCTGGAGGCGGGCAGCAACCCCAGGCTGGATTAGGAAACCACTCTCACCGGTGTTAGCCTAAAACCCCATCTCCGCTGCTGGGCTGGGAGCGAGCTGTTTGGAGGGGTGGCAGTACCTTTCACCCACGTTGAATCCACATTCAGTAAGATAGCTGGTGCTGGAGATAAAGATGACTTATCTGTCTCCCTAGCCCCTCAGACAGGGTTAATCTCTGAGTGGAGATACCTTGACAGCTTGGATTTTGCACAGTTTTCAACTAAGACTATCGCAGTTGGGAGACAGTTGTCTGTCTGCAGAAAGCAATTCCACTTAAATGCTCGGTCTAATGAACGGGGCGTGGGATTGAAAATCATGATATCCATGTTCGTTCCCCTCTGGTGCGACTGACCTGCTTTGACAGAGCTTGAGGGATCAAACTGTGAGGGCTTTACACTGACTGCTCAGCTCGTCCTGGCGTGAAGAGCCCCATGATATCGATGGGATAATTGTTCTCAGGCAGGAGCGAGGGGTCTCCAGTCTGTCCCTTCCTCTCCCAAAGCAAAGGGAATGCTTAGATGCAGAAACACTTGCAGGACTGAGATAGCAAAAGCCTCAGATCAACTCCTCCCCAGACACTCAAAAGAAAATGGGGAATTTCCAGGGCTGAATGCAGCCCTATGGGGTGGGCAGGAGGTGGTTACTGCCTACCCCTGTTCCCCTTTCTCAGGATTTAGTCTACATTGCATGGGAAAAGCTAACAGGAGTCGGCACGCACCATGGCATTTGAATGCACCAAGAATTTCTTCAGGCTGGTAGCCTCTCCCCACAGCAGATCCCTTCCTGCTTCCCTGCACGGTCCTATCAGTCGGCCACATGTCATTATTTTTAGTAACGTAACCCCTGGGGTGCTGGGATGTGCCGTGTAGACACACAGTCTAAGGTAGCGGATGCTGGGAAGTGCTGGCAGATGAGGCAGGAGGGGAGTGGAAATCTCTCTCACATCCTTGGTGAATCCCCTGAATGTTGCAACATCACATGTGTTGTGTACGAGTATATATATGCAAACCAAAAAAAGTTGAAAAATCTTAATATTTTCCTGACACTGAGCTAAACAGTGGAAAACGCATAATTTTCTGACTCCTCCAGCTGAGCAGGTGACCTTCGTGCTCATATAGAGTGTATCAAAGCTGTGATTGGAAATGGTGATGCTAGACGTGAGCTAGCTGTAAGGTAGGGAATAAGGAGCCGCAGTGGCCTCCCAGAGTGTCCCCTGAGGTCAGAGGTGGGGTGTGTGCCCCTTGCTACCCCCGTGCTGGTGTGGGACTGTGGGTACAAGGTGCTGGGACACAACCGGGTTGCTGCAAAGCCCTGCTGTTGGCAATGGAAAGGCAGGTCCCCTTCGCCCTTGGCATCCCTCAGCCTGCGATCCGTCCTCAGTGCTCCTTTGCCCTGGGAGCTGAGCTTTCACCGCTCCTCTTCCCCTTCTCTGCAAAAACTAACCAAAACAAGCTGGCCCAAACGGCAACAAACCCTTTGGACAATCTCCGACTGCTGCGTGTCCCCGCACGGCAGGGCAATTCATCATTCGCCTCCACATTGTAACATGATAAGGAATCAACAGAGGTTTCCTTCCAGTTTTGGGATTCCCGCTAAGTGGTGTCTCCATGGGTGGTTTCCCTCAATCCCCCAATTATCTCACTTCCTCTTATTGTCACAAAAGAGACGACTATCTGCCCTGTAATAAGCTCCCCGGCCCCTTTTGGCCTGCGTGGCCCTTGCAAAAGTGCAGGAGACTGGCAAAGAGAGTCCTCCTCTGTACGGCTGATGGCCCCTCATTATCTCTACGATGGCTTGAGTGGCACAAGCAGTTAAGGGCCTTTTATCAAAGCCGCCAAATGCTTTAATCAAAGAGAAGCAGTGTCCTGTCCGATACCACCGGCTTCTTCCGTGAAGCTGTACGTCTCAGGAGCCTGAGCCTCTGCTTCCCTCCCTGTGCCTTTTTCCCCCTCCCCATGCATCTAGTAAATCGAAAACAGCCACCAGGGCTTAAAGAAAAGAAACACAAAGTTAATGGGAAACAGAGAGCCAACATAAGCTGCCAAGCAGCTCTTTGCAAAGTGAAATTAATTAAAAAGAAAAAAAGTCACTAGAGATGAGCAATTCTGTTCAGATAAATCAGAACGTGATCCAAGGTTTCATCTCAAACTCGGGCTGAGCGTGGCACTTTCTTCTAGCACTGAGCAAGGATCTTCACTGAATTTGGGAAAATAACCTTACCTATAATATTCCTCTTTTTCTTCCTTTTCCAGCCTCTCCTTTCCAAGTGTAATACTAGGCTTTCCCTCACAGCTCTCCTGCTTTCCTACTTTCCTGCATGACTTTTAACAAGCCTGACCATCTAAGAAAACATGAAAGGAAGAGTGTGTTCACTCCTGATGCACCTTTGTCCATTTTCTGGACTGGAAGCTTTATTGGTTTCATTGGATCATCAGCTCCCCAAACATTGACTCCTCTTCAGTCCGTTTAGGATTTATCTCAAACAGATTATTTCCTTTTCGCAAGGCTGGGGTTACAGATAAGTGCTCGTGGGGGCAGAGGGCAATTCAACTGGGTTTGAGACCAGCTGGTGTCTGTATCTTCTGTAGCAAATACCACCACTGTTTTCCGAGATAGTCTCTCAGATATGGCTCCTTCCAGCTTTGACATCTCATGATGTTTCTCTGTATCCTTTTTAATCAGGAGGTCAGGCCTTGGTTTAGGCTCAGTTAAGAACAGGTCTGTATTTGAGCAACTCAAAGGCACCCTATTCAACTTCTACTTCCTTGGTGACCTAAGACAAAGATTTAGCTCTGTGGTTGACAGTGTTGTTCTTAGCTGTCAAGTCAAGATGGATTCACTCTGGAGATCTGATATGAAGTTACATTAGGGGAGAGCAGCAGGGCTGCGAAGGGATGTTATCTCTGAAGGCTCCTCTGTTTCAGGGAGGTGATGCTCTCCTGGGTGAGGAAGGAAGGAAGGACACATCCCAGAGCCCCAAATCTGGCAATTCCTGGTGCACAGGTGGGAGCGCGGGGTTGCCCCGTTGGGAATGACCCCGGTGTGGTGCAACGGGATCGCTGCTCCAGGCACCTTCTGAACATGCTGAACGCTGGGGAACGGCAGTCTTCAAGGCGAGAATCATCCTGTGTTGTATCCCAGCTCCACACTGAGATGGCTTATGGCATTTCACAAAGGCACTGGTCTTGAGAGGGTGGATTAACTCCAATCCTGTATCCTACGAAGGAGCGGCCTCAGTTCTTGTAGTGGATTTTAAGGCTGCGACAAAGATGAGTTAGAGCTTTGCCTTTTTTTCTAGTTGTTCTCCATCTCTCCCTCTCTCATTGTTGTGCTTGGAGAAGCCCAAAAGGGCTTACCAGCAGGCAGCTTGCTTTGTCTTTCGTTTTAGCCTTACGTCCCAATTAGGGCACTGGGGCTTGTTTTCCCTTGTGTTATCCTCTCCCTCAGACTTCCTGTGAACTAAAAAGCCATCCCTCTAAACCTCTGCTCCCTCCCAGCCTTACACAATCTCAACCACTTGGCAGATTTCTGGGATGCTTGTGATGCTGAACAGGAGGCGACTGGAACAGCCTCTCCCTGGGGAGGTTATAAAAGTTGTCATGTTGGCACTCTGAGGGAGAAGAGGGACGTGGCAGAATCCACCGGCTCCAACCAGCGAGGACCGTGTCCTTCAGCCACCTAGCTTGGACATGACCCTGACCGTCGGGAAGAATATATCTTTCATCTCCTTCCTGCTCTGATGAGGCCAATGGAGATGAAGCAATGCCTTTTCCCCCTTCTCCTCAAGAACAGGCACTGTTAGGGTAGATAGACCTCTTTGTTAACTGAACTCATTTCTCCCTCATCCCACCCAGCTTTTCTTTCACTCAGAGAATCTGTAGGACAGAAGTCAGGTTTGGGATGTCTCCTTAGAGAACATGCTGCTCGTCCTGCTGATGTTAGGAGATGCAATGAGCTGGCCAAGGCTTGAGCCATGCCGCAGCCGGCAGTGTTTGCAGCTTGGGTAGATGCAGTGGAGCCCAGAGCAAGGTGACTGCTGGGGCACCAAGGCTGAAGAAGAGCCTGCCTGCATGGTGGGGAGATATTCAGGGGGCTGGTGTGCCCCCAGCTTTTGCTGTGCAGCCACGTTGCTTGTGGCACTGTAGTTCCAGCAGCTTAACGTAAGCATCCCGCTCTCCCATCAGGAGGTGTCTCCTGTGCCTCTGCAGGCAGTGCTGGCAACTCACTGCCTCGGGAAGAGGTTCCAGCTTTTGGTGTTGGATTGTCTCTGCTCCCCAATCTTTTCTGTCGTGTTCCCCTGCAATGCAACACAGCCGTAATGCAAACCTTGCAATTGCTGAAACAACTAGCGTGTCTTAGCTTTTCACGCCCTAGGATGTATGTCTTATTTGCCCTTAGAGAGGTTCATTTTGACTGAATCTGCCTTTTTCTTTTCTTCTTGGACAACCCTTGTCAGTCTTGCATAGTGGTATTGGTTATTCAGGCTCATGCTAGATTCACACTAGAAACCAGACTGGATAAAACAACAGTGTTAGTGATAATCACCCATTGTGTCTCCCTCACGAAGTCAGAGCGAACCTACTGTAATGCCCTGGAAGGGTGATTGAGCTTTGAAAACTAAAACAGTTGGGTCCCATTCTTCATTGTCTTCTGTCCTGGGGAGCTGATTGTCAAGAATTGGGAAGGACCTCTCCTGATTTACACCAGGGGAAGAGGTGGGCCCAGTGCACCCTGAAGTCCAGAGATTTTACATGTTTGCATTTCATTCTGGATGGCCCTAATCTTGGAATTGGGAAAATTCCATTTAAAAAGCCATTTGTGTGGTATTTACAACCCAGCTGGAAGTAGTAAATACCGGAAATCTTGGAACTGCTTATGCTCTCGCTCAAGCTCCTTCATTAGATAGATCATCAAATTCCTTGTGAGGGAGCCAGTTTCCACCCCATTCTGCAGGCTCCGTTTTCCTTGGATCCACTTCGGAGCAGCTTCTCCCAAGCGCTGGCAGCTTCCCCTGCTTGGCAGAACCTTTTGCTTTTTGAGGTTTGCGCAGTATCGAGGGGCTGGTCACAAGAGCTAATCGCCACCCTTGGCTTCCAAGAATAGCAACAAAAGCGGAGGAGGTCAGCATCTCCCAGGATGGTCAGTACCTCCCAGAGGTGTCTTCTAGGGCTCGGTGGTAACGGCGAAAGGACAACGAAGTGCTATCAGGCAACCAACATCAAGAATCAAACCCACAGCAGACCAGACAGTTATCTCCTATGTCCTGCTTATGCTGTTGCCGAGTTGGTGAGAGGACCTTTAGGGAGAGGATTATGGCCTTGAAATGGATTGTCCAGGCTCCAGAGCAGGTGGGGGATGAGTTTAAACTGCAGCCTTCAGCATTGCGTGGGAGCTCTGTTTGACTTCTCCTCCTTTTGCCATTCTCTTCCTTGAAGATGTCCCCTTTCCACCCCCAGATCTGTTCCACACGCCATGGGGATACACTTCACCTGCTCTGTGGTGGCTCTGGTGGTGGGACAATGCCAGATCAGACTAGAGAGCCTGGACCAGTGTAAATTCATCAGCTGGCACCAGCTGAGGATCTCTGGTGGGCATCATCCCACCTGATGATGGTGGTGGACTGTTCTCTTCCCTCTCCAGCACTTTGAGGTTACATAGATGGGAAAATAATTGGAAAAGGGGCCAGAGGGCAGGCAGAAGCTCTTAGGGTAGGCTGTAATCCTTCGTTAGTGACTATGTCCTCTTTGGAGATGGGTACGGTGTCCTTACGCATCTTAAAATCTGGAGTGATGGTGCCCTTTCCACACATGGCGCCGGTGAGCCTGGCTCTAGAGAGGCCAGTAGAGCGATGGCGCAAGCTTACAGAAGAAGAGAGGGCACCTATAGGGTTTCCACTGAAATCCTGGTTGTTTTTGTTTTTCTCTCTTCACCTGCGATGAATTCTGGAAGCGGATCCATAACGCTGCGTCTCTGCCTGGCTAGGCTGTGGCAGGCAGCGAAATGTCTGGGCTAAATGGAAAAATCAGCAACTTCAGGTTGTAAGTCAGGCACATTTTTACACAACGGAAAAACAGAGTTTGACTGGTTTGTGTTGTATATTTAAAAAAATAAAAATAAAATAAACAGTCAAACCCCAAGCCAATGATTTCTAATGCCAGCAGAGTAATGCGGTTTAATGCTGAAAACTTTATTAGCAGAACAATGCTTCATTTTACAAGACTTTTTTTTTCTGCCCTAGTGTTCTTATTACTCAGTGGTGGGTTAGGGATCCAAAACTTTTAGGCTGTCTGTAAAAGCTAGAGCTTGGGCAGTTCTTCCAGATGTACCTCCTGTGACAGACCCATGCTTAGGAGGGAGCTTAGACCTGCTTTTGTCTTTCAGGGGACTACATCCTCTCACTGCTCCTATATAAAATGAACCTGGTCAGGATTAAGGAGAGTGACGCGCTTTTGCATCTCTCTGCTTACTGTTTCAGCTGTTTTAAAGACGTGATTGCATTGCTCGCTTATCCCATCCTACTTTCTGACCCGATTTAAGAGCAGGCAGAGGAGGAAGCTAACTTGATTATCAGGGCTCTGCACTGCCGGGACTAAGGAGCCGGGTTTTGCTGTTGTCAGGAAGAAAGCATGAAATGCGACTGCGGCTTTCCAGCTGAATTTACAGGCAGCTGCTCTTACAAAGTCAAAGGACACCAAGGGGAAAGTCCCCATGGTGTGTACCTCGGTACCTGGTGTTTTCTGGGGTTTGTTGGGCCAAGAAGATTAACAGCAGCAGTTGTTCCAGCTGGATTTGGGAGACACCTGAGTGGGAGTAATGGGTTATTTTATAAGCAGAGGGGGGGCAGCTTCCAGGAGAGAGCACATGGCTGTTTATAACAATAAGGGTATGCGCATGTGCGCGTTTACAAGAAACAAAAGGTGCCTGCACTGTCCATCTGCACCTTCTGAAGTTGAGACATGGGCGCTCTTGCTGGAGCAGCCCAGCAGCAACACCTGTGTTTTTGCAAGTGCTTCTTGGGGGGCAGATGCTTTTAGCCCTCTTTTTTGTGGAACTTTTTTTTTTTTTTCCCTTTTCTAATTTGGGGGTGAAAAACTTTGCAGCTCAAAACAAGTTGGCTGAGAAAATTTGAGAAGGGCCATTTCTTGCAGTATTCTTCCAAATTTTACCCCTGTTGAAAGGGTGCAGCTAAGAGGGCTTTAAGCAAAGTGGGATGTTTTTCTGCCTGCACCAGAAATCTTGTTCTTGAAGCAGCAGCAAAGTTAATCTGGGTCAGAACAAGCTCCCCTTCCCTTGCCTCGCTGTCCTTAAAATCTCTTGGTGAAGTGCTCGTCCCTGGGAACTTTGCCATCCATTCCAGCAGAGCTGGATTTCATTTGATGACCCTGCGAATGAATAAATAAGTGCATATTCATTTATTCATTTTGCTTCTCCCTAGAGATTTCACCTAAATTGTTTATCTCCTTCTCTCTGTTGGTCCGGGATGCTGCAGAAAACAAAGGGCTTTGCAAGCTGCGCCTTGTTGTTTCTAGCTGTGAAATTTACTTTTCCTTTTTTGTTACACTTGGCTCCAGCACACAGCCCTGCGTGGATTTATGTGCCCAGCTCCCTTGGCACGGCTAAAGACCGGGGCTGTAAAACTCCAAATCTGATTGTCTCAACTGTGCCATTGCTGATGCTCTCCTGGGGGGATTTTTATTGTGATCTCCATTTCTGTCTCATTTATCGCGAAAATATATCATTGTAAAGGCTTTTAGTTAACAGCATCAGCTCTGAGCCTCTCAGCTGGGGGTGGGGACGCTGTTAGGTGCACTGTATCTGCAGGCAGATGTTACTCCTCTGGTCAAAGTGCTGGCAGCAGAAAGACGAGCATCTTCGTGGTGCGGGGATGTGCATGGGGTATTACTAAGCAAGCTAAGCTTCGGGATCCCTCCAGCATCTTATAGCCTTGATTTTCCTCCCAGAGCCCCTAGCTAATCCCTTCCCCAGTGCTGCAGACAGGGCCAGGTACAAGACTTGGTTTCAGCAAGACTGATTCCAAGGAAGGGATCTGGATTTGCCCTGACAGAACTGAGAGCAGCGTCTGGATCAGCTCTGTGCAGACAGTGTCCTTGGTAAAATGAGGATTATGGAGAGGGAGGTTCAGCTGAGGGCACAGTATTGTCGTTTGCTACCAGGAGTTTTCTCTCCCAACAGATGAGGAATGTTCCACCACCGAGCATCCCTACAAGAAGCCCTACATGGAAACTTCTCCGGCAGAAGAGGATCCTTTCTACAGGTCCAGTTACCCCCAGCAGCAGGGACTGAACACTTCATACAGGACTGAATCAGCCCAGCGCCAAGCATGTATGTATGCCAGCTCCGCTCCCCCCACGGACCCCGTGCCCAGCCTAGAAGACATCAGCTGTAACACGTGGCCGAGCGTGCCATCCTACAGCAGTTGCACAGTGTCTGCCATGCAGCCGATGGACAGGTTACCCTACCAGCATTTCTCTGCCCACTTCACCTCGGGGCCGCTGATGCCCCGGCTCAGCAGCGTGGCCAACCATACCTCCCCCCAAATAGGAGATACCCATAGCATGTTTCAGCACCAAACCTCGGTTTCTCACCAACCCATTGTCCGGCAGTGTGGACCTCAAACTGGCATCCAGTCCCCCCCCAGCAGCTTACAGCCCGCAGAGTTCCTGTATTCCCACGGCGTGCCTCGAACCCTTTCGCCCCACCAGTACCACTCGGTCCACGGCGTGGGCATGGTGCCAGAGTGGAGCGAGAACAGCTAACGAGGCGGTCAGGAAAGTGCAAGAGCATTAGCCATGGGGAAAAAAAAAAAAAAGGGAAAAGGAAAAGGAAAAAAATACCCTGTCGATAACAAAAGCGAGAGTATTTTGCAAGACTCCTTTAACTGAATGTTCACCAGTAGCACTCGAGAGGGACGGACACTGATTGAAACCACAGATGAAATAGTCATCGGCCTCGGTGTGACTTGCTCCCCGCCCCGTCCCCCCTTTTTCTTTTGTTTCAAAAGAAAAATCAACAGATCGGCACACTTCTCCCCTGCCACGGTCCCTGCCCAGTTTGTGTTGTTGCCACCGCCAGCCCTGTGCCCTCATCCCCCCCTGCCCTCCTGCTCTTTTTGTTCTCCAAGGGACACCAAACTCCTGCTGCCTTTCTCAACACAGTCAGAGTGCTTGAACGAAAACAACTAGGATGTTACCTTTTTTTTTTTTGTGGTGTTGATGTTGACGATGTTATATAATAAATAATAATATATATATATTTTCTTTCAATTTTCTCAAAAAAAGACACCGGCCCTTTTTACCAAGGGTGGATTTTGGAGTGGTGTTTCTTTTTTTTTTTTTCCCATTAGTATTATCATTGTTACTTTTCAACACAACGAGGTTTTACGAACCCACGAATAAGAAAAGCAGGTACCTACCTCACCCAGGCGTAGTAACATGAGTGAAATCATTCCCTGCAGGCTGCCGTGTTTCCTTACAAACGCCCCAAAACACGTCTCTGCAAGAACAAGCCCCGTAAACTCATCTCCTTTCCCACTTGCGTGTAATTCTCTCGCTCTTCTTTCCTTCCCATCTCCTGATCTTTCCCGGTCCATCAGCTGTCTCTGATGGAAGCGCAGGGTATCTTTCAAACTTGAAAACATCCGCAGCTTGTCTCCTGCCGAATTTTTACCGGCATGCAGAAAGCGAGGCTCTGAGCCAGCTGCAAGGGGGGGAAAAGCAGGGGGAGAGGATGCAGACAGCGAAAGGAAAAAGTTTGCTCATAAAAATGCTGATGATGATGCTTGTTTGCAATCCTGGACTTTCATTTTATCGTGCGTTCTTTTTCTTCCTCTCAAAAAAAAAAAAAAGGAAAAAGGGATACTGGTCTGGGTGCGTTGAGATACTAAGTAAATGTGTTTAAAAGGAGCAGAAAATGATCATGAGAGGCTAGGAGTGGGGGAGGCAAGAAGAGAAGAAAAAGCAAATGTGTAAGTAAAAATGTCTACTGCAGAAGTTTTCAGGTGTAAAATTTCCTGGTACTATTTATTTATACATGGGAGTTCAAATAACTCATAGGATGTCACACTAAGCCAGCAAAGCAGCTGATTCAAAGGGGTTAAAATTTTTATTGAAACGGAAGTTTGCTTTCTTTTCTTCTTTTTTTTTTTCTTTCCAAGCTGTGCACACTCTATATAATTTACATATATTTTTAATTAAAAGTAATTCTAATTAACAAAAGAGGTATACCTCCGTGTCAGCAACTGAGAATGTGGGTGTGAATGAGTGGGAATGCTGGTATGTGCGTGGGAGGGGTTACAGACAGGTATCCAAAGCCATGTAGCTAAGAAGAAAAAAATAATCCCTACCTAGCTATGCTTTCCTATTCTTGTGTGCCAATTTACGCCTAATAAATACCACATGCTCTCAATGGCAAGGGACCCCCCCCCCATTTTTATTTTTTGGTTTTTTTTTTGGTTTTGGGGTGGGGTTTTTTGGTTCTTTTTGCTTGGTGCCCATAAGTTTGATTTTTATTTATTTCTGGTGTACCACAGGTGGTACAGCAGCCCAAGGGGGAAGACTGTTAGGCAGTGATGGGCTGAGCTTGAGACTGCTGTGTGTTTGTCTGCTACAGAACTGCCTGCGTCCCCAGGTCCTTCCCACCCAACCCCTTCCCCAACCCAAGGGACATGCTCTCCTGGGGTCGCTTTCCCATCGAGGCAGATTTAGAAGCCCCCTTGGGAATCCAGGTGGGTGCTGGGGTGGCACTGGGAAACCCTCTGCCCCCTGTTCCTGTGCAGATGGGGACGGTGGGGGACGTATGGCCCAGGAGAGGTGTGGGGCCATGTCCCAGCCTCGGCGAAGGAGGGGACGATACTGGATACTTTACAGATTGGAAACAAGATGGGAAAACCAGCTCCGGAGAAATAAAGAGATTGCATCCGAGAAGCCCAGCAAAAAGGTCTCCTCCATGTAGCTGGTGAGCCCCAGCCCCCCCAGGGTGATGCTCCCCCCTAGCTGTCCCATGGCAGGTGGGACCTGGGGGATGATGGTGTCTACTGGGGCTATCCCAGCGCTGGCTATGGGGTTTCTTCCTTCGGCTGTCTCTGCTTTTACCATCTTCTGCTTGCAACAACTGGGTTTCTTAAATGTCGGGTTAGATGCAGTCAAAACGCGATGCTGTGCTACCCTGGGAGCTCGCTCCGGGTATCGGCCACTTTTGCAGGCAGAAAGGGATGTAGGCATCACGTAACCCTTCTGCGGGCATGGCTGGGACCTCAAGTTATACGCAGCTTTGTCTTCGTGGAGCCACCCCCAGGGAATCACTCAAATGTTGCATTGCTCGGTAAATCACATGCTGTTTCTCCAGAATATGCAGTTGTCCAAGATTAATGACTGAGTAAATTGCATTTTGAGTTAAGGAATAAAAAAATTACACTGTATTTAGCTGTCAATTACATTGTACTTCCCAGGCTTCGTTATCCCACTGCTAATCATGTAATCATCTTATCACTATATGGTAATTTACATGTAATTAAATGGCCAGTGGTTACTCTGTAAGTAAAGAGGTCTCACCAGAAATGTGTGCCATGCATCTCAAAGAGTATTAAGGAAACTAAACCCACATGGTAAATTATTTCTCAGGCTTTGGAAGGAAAGCCTCCAGCTTTCAACTTGACTAATTTCCCCCGAGTTCCTCACATTATTTTTTCGGGTCTTCGAGGAAATGCAGAGGCTCTTTGGAGGAGTCTGCGATGCTGCGACGGACTCTGAGCGCTGGGGTTTGGCTGCTGAAAAGCCAGGTAGCTCCCCGAGGACGCAGCCTTGCGGAGCCACGCTGGGGAGCAAGGAGGCCGTCAGTGGCAGGAGGATGGACCTGTCACACCAACAAAATCTGGGATGAAGGCAAAGGTGGGTGGGAGGATGTGATATAGCCTTCTCCTCCTCTTCCTGAAGAGTTTGTTTCTGGCTGCTGCTTCTTCAGTGTGGCATTTCTGGGCTTTAGCCTTGATGGAGCCCAGTTGTGCCACGTGAGCACAGTCTGCTCTTCCACTTGAATGAGTAGGAATGTGAGGAGTCAGATAGGACGTGAAGGAAAAAGCTGACTTGTTCAAAGGCCCGTGGTGACTCCCAGTCTGGATGTGAACATGCCTGGTCTATGTTGAGCCTTGAGAAACAGCTTGTACTTCTTCCCAGCTGTTCCAAAACAACACTGGGAGATGTCAAGGAGGAGGGTGTTCTCTCCCTTTGGTTGTGATTTCATGTTACAAAGAGCCTTCATTTCTCTTCTTACGGACTTATTCCTTAGCGGAGTATGATAGTGATGATAATAAACAAACAAAAAAAAATTAGGGAAAAAATTATATTAGAGTTACTGTCATTGAAAGAATTGGACAAAAGAGTTTGCAAAATTCACCCTATTCAGAGGTAAACTGGCAATTCATCCATAAGAGGCCTTGAAACTTGAGGAAGACCATCCCAGCGTGGTACAAGGGACCGAGCACAGCCACCACCAGCCTCTTTCCCTTCTTGCCTACAAGTCCCAGGAGCCATAAACCAATCCTCAGCATTGCCTGGTGGTTTCCCAGCACCGTAGGCACCACTGAGGGTGCTGGGGTGGGGGTGGGCTGGACCTGGGGTGCTTCTGCCATGGGCCTGGGGACAGGGATGGTGGAAGAGTCTAGGAGAGCTGGATTTGCTGTGGGGGGTGAACCGTGTCCTTGGGTGAGGAGGGAGCCCTGCAAAGCTCGTGGAGGAGGATGGCTAGCGTGGTGGGGGGAGAAGGCAATGGTGGCCCATCCTCCTCCTCCTCCTGGGCAGGGGACCTCCTTGCCTCAAACCTCTCCTTGGAGCTAGCTTGCGGCTCTGGCAGCATGGAAAGTAGCCGTGAAACATCATCAGGCAGAAGAAAAACAGGGCTTTATAGATGAACCATAATAAATAAGCACAGGCTGCGCAACTCCTTCAAGCGGAGGAGGAGAGAAAGAAACCTAACTTCTGCTAAAAACATCTTTTAAAGGGCAAACACGAATTCCCAGGCTGCGGTCACAATGCTGTTTTTTCAGCTGCCTTCCTGGGCTAAAATACTCCCTGCAGTTACCATGGCTCGTACCTGGGGAGGCTGCAGATGCCCTGAGCAGACACACAGAGAGCTCTTTGTCTGCCTCTATCAGCTCACCTCCACATTTCACTTTTCAACAGCTAGGGTGCTGGCTGGTTTTGGGAGGTGGCTTTTCCCTGCCGTGGTACCTGCTGGGATCAGCAGCTCCCCAGATTGTGTTGGTGGGGTGGGTTTTTTTTTTTCCTAGAGACAAGGATGCTTGAGAGGGGCAAAGTCACCCCTCGCCTGCTCCAGGCTGTGCTCCCAGGGCAGACCCGACCTCCCGAAAACTGCCTTTGTGCCCTGAGGCTTGAGGGAAAAAAATATCCCAAAGCCTCAGGATTCTTGCACATAAATCCAGCCCACAATATCATAGATTTTACGGTGCTGCCAACTCTGACAATTTTATGATGGGTCTCATGTGATTTGCAAAAGTGTTTTTTTTTTTTTTTTTTCCCCCCTCTTAAAGTTTCCAGTTCCTGGAGTCCTGTGATTATATGAGACTCTCAAGGGATTCCGAGTCTTTTTTTTCCCCATGTTTTTTCTTCTTTGTTGGGTTTTAGGATATATAATAAAGTTGGAAATTTTACTGGAGAGGCAAGTGAGGCAGAGAAAAGAAATGAGTTGTCTGGAGGTGGGACTAGAACTCATCACCAGACAAAAAATATAATTTTTTTTTTTGAGTTCTCTCTGGAAAAGTGAATGCCTTTGCTGCATTTTTTTTGAGTAATAAAAATTTCAAAGTTTTAAGTGAATGGAAAATGTTCAGAAAGTGGCTTGAATAAATTCCCACCCCCAAAAAGGAGAAATATTTTGTTTACATTTAGAAGATTTTACTCTTTTGAAATTTCAAAGGAAATTTTTCAACCCAAAGTCATTTCAGAGTGAAATACTGACGTGTTTCACTTGGAAACCACCACACCCGGCAGCTCCGATGTCTCCTACTTCCTTTGTTTGGTTGAAACAAATCCTACAGCCTCAGCGGCTGGTTCTTTGCTGTGGGTTTTGCAGGCTTTACCCTGCACCTGGGAGGACTCAGCTACAGTAAAGTATAGTTAAAAGTCAGCAAGTGCCTGCCACGGTTCCCCTACGCGATAAATAAAGGCATTTAGGTGC